ATATAAGAGTAAGAAATTTCTATACTATTTTTTTTCTTAAAATAAAATAAAAAGAAAAATTAATTGCCTTTCCCCGGCAACGACGCCAAATTTGACGAGCACTATTGTCGTAGTGCGTCAAAATAAATCGATACTAGCACTTATACGTAGTATAGGTGAAGCAAAGTATGTATCCACATAAAAATGAATAATTCTCTTTTTATAAAATTAGTAAATAAAAGGGGTTTTTTTAGGATCGAATGATTTAATATAATTAAACACCAAGATGAACAACTTATACGTGATTTAATTCAATAATAAAAAGGACTTGGCCTTGCTACTTTCCACTTGTTGATATATTTTAGTCGATCATTGTTATATCTATAACTTATTCCTTCTCGAATACTCAATCGAGGATTATCTCCAATTCATTGAGGGCAGTTATTAACAACGACCGTTCATTAATAACTCTTACTATTTGTCAAGTATAGAACACTGCCAAATACTGACTTGATAGTAGCATTAATCTCTTAACTCCTTGATGAAATCAATTGAGATTGATAACCTCAACACAATGGTTTCGGTTTAACCAACACAATTAATCCCTCTTAAGTTTATTAACCACGACCGTGCGTTAATAAACCGATTTTACTTACTTGTGAAACCATCAACTATTAACCACGATCGTGCATTAATAAACCGATTTTACTTACTTGTGAAACCATCAACTATTAACCATCGGTTCGTTGATCGTTTTTAGTAGTAATTAATGTCGAGATGTTAACTAATTGTCATCTTAGAAACACTCCCCAACATTAATATAGAGATAGATTAGGGGAAGATCGAATTAATATTCAAGGGAAGAAGTTAATAAAATAACTCACAACTTTAATAATCAACAAGCTTCAAGAGCAACACCAAGACATGGAAGTTTAGCTCCTCATTTGGAGACTAAACATGCTATAAAAATATAAAAGAAATAATATTCTAAACTGAGCTTAAGAGTATGGAAGAAAGAGTGATTATTAGTGAAGGAAAAATGTGTTATTTATAGGTGTTTTTCAACACCTTTGGCCGGGTACCCGACCGGATATAGTGCCTACCCAACCGGGTACCGGTCAAAATCAAATATTTCTCCACGTTCTTGTGTTTCAGAACGTCATTTTGTCCCGGGTCACATCTGACCCGACCGGGTGGGGTAGGGTCGGTCCCGCCGATTTTCGGGCTTATGGACGAGATATTATTTTGGGCCTATGTTCAAGACAAAAAGTAATATCTAAATATCGATCAACGGAGGAAGCGGTCCAGCTCAGCTGGTCACCGACTCACTCTCCCTTATGGGAGGTCACGAGTTCGAAACTCAATGGAGTGAGTTTCAGCCCAATTTACTCCAGGCCCCCCTAGACCCCCTCCCCGAGACTCCCCCTGGAGTAAAAAAAATCCAAATATCGATCAACGAAACAGGACTCACCACTGGTTATTCTCTTCACCTAAATCACATTTATCTGGCTCAATTTCAATATTTGCGGCTTCTGCACCTATATTACTATTTCCAAGCATGTTATGGTTTTCATTCGCAAAAGAATTTAGTGGCGATTCAACTTTAGAAGAATTTTCGGGATTCAATTTCTTAACAAAAACAAAATTTTCCATTGCCCCCGTCTTACTTAAGGCTGCCTTTTATAATCTTTTTCTCTTTTTCCCAACCAGATTCAACCATTTTATCAAACACCTTCACAATAGTAAAACGAAATAAAGGACATCAATTTCAAAATTGCACAATACCACACAAATATGAATTTACCAAGACACCAAAAATGCATCATATAAATCATTAATCATAATTCATTAATCAAAAGAACATTTAGTGGGTTTATTATTCATAGCTATAGATTGAGAATAATTTTTTTCGGATTGTTTGAAGCCTTGACAGAAGAAGGTGTTCTAGTCGCCGGCCGCCGTTTGGGCTCCTCACCGCTGACCGCTTTGGCTAATGGCGATTTGCAGGCTTGTGGCGCTCTCTAATGCCTACTCTTGTGCAAGACGGCCAAGACCTTATTAAACCTTAGTCCTTTAGTTCCTTAGATAATTGAGTTTAATTGGAACTTGGAAACCACCGTCCAGAAAATTAATTAGGTTAGTGGGATGAGGTGGTTTATGAATTGGGAGTTTGGGAGACACACAGGTTGTACAAAGAGTTAGAGACAATAAATATTTTGGTAATTTTGTAATTAAAAGAATTATAAAGTCTAGAGATGTAAAGAGACTTAACTACTCAAAGAGGAGTGTCGCGTGTCTTTTAACATTTGTTTTAAAAAATTTAAATTTTCAACAAAATTAAACCTTAGACCTAATCATTTGAGCTTAAATACAAAAAAGAAGCCTACTCACACTATATATATAAAGACAAAATTTTGGGCCTACCCCCCCCCCCCCCCCCCCCCTATTTTTTCGGGCCTAGGGCGGTCGCCCCTATTGCACCCCCCCAGGACCGGCCCTGGGGTGAGGTAGAAGACCCGACCGGGTCTGGCAAATTCCTGAGCGGCTTCGGTTTTCACTTCTTACCCGACCGGGTGCAAGGTCCTACCCGGTCGGGTTTTAGCTCCTGGGCAGTCAAATATCATTTTTCTTCACTTCAAAGCCCTCCTTTCCAACACCATAACTCCTAACTCTACTTTACAACTTACAAATGAAGATTAAAATACAATTACAACTAAATCACACAAATGTTTACAAACTAAATAAAACAGTAAACAATTCACACAAATCAAACATAAAAACATACATTTATGCATTACTAATTAGTGCATATCACCGCCCCTTCCCCGTATTTTGTCCCATCAAGTGCCACGTTATCTTCATCGAGCTTGTCCTCTCCTTGGGAGTCCCAAATCCATCTTCTTTTTTGGTCCTCCGATGCTTCCTCCTTTGTTTCAAGTTCCACGCCTTTAGTTGTGCTCTGCGCTGATTCCGAGATAGACTCCTTCCCTCCTCCTCCCATCCTACCATCAGACTTATTATCCCCATATTCCTGTGGTCTCTGTCAGAGCTCAATGAACCTTCCACCAACCATTTACTTCCTCCTGTTGGGCTAGTCTTCACCCCGCTACCCGCTCTAAGCTGGACCCTGTTTTTTTTCAGAACTAGATCCTCTTCATAGGTCAGAGGGCAAAATTTATCCGAATGTCCAATTAAACCGCAAATAAAACAGAAGTTGGACAACTTTTCATACTTAGAGTCCACTCAATAACTCCTTCCTTCTTTCTTAAGATTGATACATTTTTTCAAATGTTTTTTCACATTCATAATCACCCTGTTTCTCATATAAGATTCCCACTTCTCACTGTTTTGATTATCATCATATCTTATAAATTTTCCAATAAAGTTTCCAACCCGCCTGACAGTACCTAGATTCATTAGACTGTAGGGTGAATTATGCACTTGAACCCAAAACTCAGCCTCATTTAATACAATTTTATGCGGAATATCATTTGGCTTAACTTCTTTTAAAATCAACAAATTGCGCTCAAATTGCCAAGGACCACCATCTAGCACACGTTTCATATCACCACGCTAATAAAAAGTAAAAAGGTTCCTTTTATCGCCAACATCTTTAATCGAAATTCCTTTCCCTGGCCTCCAAAGCGAGGACATGAGTTCCTTACAGGCGGGAAATTTGACCTTCCTATCTGTCAGCAAGACTCCCACCACCAGAAACCCCGAAATGTTCTCCTCTACCGGCACGTCCTCAATATCAGCTTCATCAAGATCCAGTTCTTCTTCCTCTACCCCAATTGCCATCTTTTTGTACTTATCAACGAAGTTTTCCATTCAAACCTGTTGCCTTACCCTCCTACCGGAGAGCCGTTGCCGCACAGGTTCTATTGAAGCCCTCTCAAACCAGCCGCCGCCACTCTCAAAACCTAGTCCCTCGAACCGCCGATCCCAAACGCTATTCTCGACCGAACCTCCTTCCCACTCCAATATGCTAAAAACGATTAAAAAGAATCCACAAATAGGTCGGAAAACCCCAGCCCCGCCCCACGGCTAAGCCGATGGCGGACAAAACTATGCTAAGCGTTACCCTGTGGTAACCCTAGAGAGAGAACATGTTGTCCATTACTGTATATACACACTTTAGAATGTTGAATTAATATATTGTTGTTTATCGAAGTTTTTAAATATGAAAAATGTTAACTATTAAACACTATATTTCTTTAATATTTTACTTGTTATATTTTATATTAATTAAAGTTATATTAGAGATGCCATGACTTTATTTTTCTGAGCCCGTTGCTGAACACAAACATAGTGAAAAATATCAACTTTATTGATTTCACGAGAAAATTAAACATTTCTTAAAATTAATGAAGCAAAAAAATTAAATAAAATAAATATACTAAATTAAACAATATCAATAAAATAAATATGGAGTATACTAAATTAAACAATATCAATTCAAAAAAAATAAAACCACGTTGGGACTTTACCATTGTATTGCAGTACTTTACTATATCGTTGAATTTTCAATTAATTTAGTACGGAGTATATCAATTACCCAACAAATGAAATATATCCAGTACTTACCGTTTTAATTTAAATTTCTTCTCTTTCTAGCAAGTAGTTTGTATTGGGTAATTTGTTTATCCAAACTAGAAGGAAAAATATACTTCAATGATAGACTAATAACTTTAATATTTTTGAAAAGTAGAAGTGAACCCCTAGAAGTAATGGTCGGCTATGTAGCACGAAAACTCTCAGGAAAGAATACATTTTCCGTTTCGGAAACACTTGGAAACTATTTGGAAACTCTTCAAATAAAAGTTGGTCGTTTCTCATTTACTGTTTTTTCATAATTTCCGCGTTTCCGTGTAACATAGATGGTCGGAAATGCTCTTAGCAAGCTGCTAAGCTCAATAAAATTTCCCTTTTGTTCTCCCGAAATTTAGAAAAATAACGAGCGGCAAAGAAGATTTTTACGGCTAAAAAACAATCCGGAGGATTTTGAACGGAAACAATAGTTTAGCGGGAACATAAATAATTTGAAGAATCAAAGCCTTCAGATTTCAAAGCTCCACTTCCGCCTCGACAATGGAAGACGCTGTACAGAGAATAGCGACAGATATTGAAACCCAAACAACCATTTCAGAATCTAATCTCAAAGAACTCCAAACGCTCTTAGATTACACCCTAAGCACCCAAGATCCCACAGATCTCGAAACCATCTACAATGAAATTTCTTCAAGAAATCTCCCTCCCACTGCTCTATCCAACTCAATATCCTCAACAATGGACTCTGGTCCGCCCCATGTTTCAATCCTGGCATCCACTGTTTACTTATCTCTTCTTCTCTCCCCAAACTGTCCCGTATTTACCATTTTCACTCCCATGGCTTTTCAGTCGCTTCTCCTGTCCATTCGCAGAGCTTTGAAAAGCACGCGTGTGCCTTCTGAAGGGGGTTCAGGGTCAAGAAAGCTTGAAAGGAAAGGAAAGGGGGGTGGCCGAGGAGGCCCAGGGAAGAACAGAGGAAAGAATGTGGAGCATTGTGAGGACGTGGGTGAAGAAGATAGGGTTTTTGATGTTACGGTTTTGTTCTGTGTACTTGAGAGGCTGGAATCGGTTATGGGTTTGGTCCATTTGGATAGGTTTCCCGATTGTTTAAGGACTTTGGTTCAAACCGTGGCTGACATTCCTATAATGGCAAGTGAATGCCCTGGGGGTTCAAGGGTGTACGCGAGGTTATGTGAGCTGTGTTCACGGCTCCTAAGGGAAGTCCTTAAGCCTGAGCACGGGGATCCGAGGGCCTCCTCTGCTGAGCTTTTGAAGTCATTGACACCTTTGATTCTTTTGGTTAAGTCTCAAGCAAAGACATTTGCTTTAGAATTTATAGTGATCAGGATGGTGAGTATGGCCAAAGATTCTCCTATGATAAAGGAAGCAGTTGTGAATTTGCCTAAGTATTTGGTTCATAAGTCTCCAGAAAAGGCTGAGCCTAGAGCTTCAGCTGTGGCCTCCATACTACAGATTGTTAAAGTTCTAGACTTTGAGGATCAAGTTGCCTTTGCTGATTTTGTAGTGAAGATGAGCCAAGGGAAGGCAAATTTAAGGCTTTTGGCTGTGGACCTCTTTCCAGCATTGCTAATGTCAATAAAAGATCCACTAGGATGGAATTCAGATTCTGGTGTTGAGAATTCTTGGGGTTTGAGATGTTTGAGTGCACTGATTCAGCGGTGCTCTGATTCAACAGCTGGGATTAGAGCTCGGGCTTTGACCACTTTAGCAAATCTGCTGGTACATTTTTCTGGGGATGTGAAGAGCAGATCAGCGATGAAGGGATTAATGGGGTTTGGAAATGATGGATCTAATCTGGCACAAGATGGAATCATCTTTATCTTGAAAAGTCGGTGTGCGGATGAGAAGGCTGCAGTTAGGAAGGCTGCTCTCCTTCTGATATCCAAGTTGACATCTCTATTAGGCAGTGCTGTTGATGAAGATTTGATAAAGACAGTGGGCTTTGCTTGTTATGATCCACTAGTTAGCATAAGGAAAGTGGCAATCTCAGCTCTATCTGAGGTTAAGTAACTCTGCAATATGAATGAATTGCTTCCTTATGTTATTGGTCTCACCATGTATACATTGGGTAATATTTTTTGAAGTTAAACTTCTAGATATATAGTACTGCTGGCAAATTTATTTGAGAGGTTGAGGGCTTGAAGCTTTGTCAAAGCATTCTCTATCCTATTCATTAATAAATGAACATAAACATTGATTCTTTCCCCATCACATTCGTCTTAGTAATGGTAAAAACTTAAAATTAAATCCATATGTCTCTTTTACCTGACTTTAATACCATCGAAATTGCCATACTATACCATTATTCTTCTGTATTTTAGGTTCTAGCAATGGTGTTCATGTTTCACTGGTAATTTTGACTTCATGTTTCTCTGAGGACTGTAATTTCTTTACCTGGTGTTCATACTATCAGAGTTGCCATGCCATTAGTCTTATGTGCTATATGCTCTAGTAATGTTGTTGTTGACTTCATGTTTCACTGAGGACTGTAATCTTTATTTACTGCATAGTAATATCTTAAGCGAAAAACTTGCAATCCTGCAATGCTTTCTATTTAATAGGTCTAAGTCAATTCATGTCTCTCTTTTCTTACCGTTTCGAGTTTGATAATTCTTTTTATTAGAATGGATTCTTTCCTCACTATATAGTACTCTGTATAATCTATATAGTGATGTTGAAATGTAGCTGTTAGAGAAATGAGTTTCTTTCAGGGATGAACGTGTCATTCCATTTCCTGATGCACTTTGAACTTTTGAAGTAATCAAGTAGGGCAGTTTTAGTTACTCGACAGTTTCCACTTTTCCAATATCATTTTCTAAAAAAGCATGCCATACTTGACAAAACAATGCTTTGTTGAAGGAAAATAATGCATTGCGATCAAAGGATTGGAATTGGAAAAATAATGCATTGCGATCAAAGGATTGGAATGGAATTGAAAACAATATGCTAAACACACCACTGTTTTGTTTTCCATTTTCAGAAAAGGGGAACTAATGCATGATTATGCTCCTTTTGCCTTGTATAGAGGTTGCCACACCTTTTCCTTTGTGCAGCGACTTATGCTCTAATATTTTATACCGATTTCTTCTTGAGTTTTTATACATTTCAAACACATTAGATGATCTGTTATGTAATTATTCCATCTAAGTTCTAAAACATTTGCATTTGTGTTTTTTTCTCAGATCATGTTTTGATTTGTTATACAGGCTTTTAGATTGGCCTTAGGAGACTTTATAACAAAAGAGTGGCTTCATTCGGTTCCACGTCTAATAGCTGATAATGAAACCAGCATCCAGGAAGAATGTGAAAACTTGTTCCTTGAATTGGTTATTGATCGAATCGCACAAGTTAGTTCTAGTCGTTCTCCCAACCAAATGCCCAAATTTTCAGGGTCAAGTGGAAGTTCCAGAAACTCAGACATGGAAATGGAACAATCATGTAACGGTGGACTTTTATGTCTATTGAGAGAGATGTGTAATAGTGAGGTGGCACCTTGGGTGAAGAAGATTTGTGCAAGTTTAGGAAAGAAAAAAAAACTAAAACCGAAGATTGCTATAGCACTTCAAAATATCATAAAGACATCTGAATCTCTGTGCTTAAGAGAATCAATGCCAATAGAGAAGTGGACCGCACCTTTAGGTTCATGGTTTCTTTTATCAGAGGTATCTGCATTCCTGCCTCGAGCGGTTGAATGGGAGTTCCTTCGTCATCATTGGCAGCTTCTGGACAAGCATAAACCAAACAATAATAGTGAAAACCAGTTTGTTCAAGGCAATTCGAACACTGAGGACATTGACACAACCGAATCAAATTCTGTTACTTGGGCTGGAGATCGTGTTTTTCTTTTGCAAACAATCTCTAATGTTTCTGTGGAGCTCCCTGCGGAGCCTGCAGCTGACTTGGCTCATGATATTTTCACTCGTCTAGAGCAGTTCAACATGCACTCAACAGAGGTATGTACTAATGTATTACTCCCTCTATCCCATTTTGTTACATGCATTTTTCTTTTTGTATCATTTGTGTACCAAAATTATCAACTCTTTCCTAATTTAATTCCACAAACTTATTACTTGCCCACTTCAATTTATCATTTCATCTTTTACTTTTCATTGGTCGAATACTCTTCTTCTTATTCTTCCTTTAGAACTTAGAAGGTTAGAATTGCAAAACAACTATCTCCTTTATTCTCTTAAAACTCATTCCAAAGCCAGATGTACCTTACATTTTGGGATGGTGGGACTGTGGGAGTATTTTCTAGTTCATCTGGTCCACACACCCCCATCCTAGTATCATATTGCTAAGGAAAAAGTATACGATACATTAATCTTCACAGCAAATGCATTATCCAATCAACTTGCTTCCATTGCTCCGCGAAGGGCATAAAATAGCAGCTGTTCTGCCATAGATTCTATTTTGGAACTCTGGGAAAGGTACATGAACTTCATTTTGTGCAGCATTGATTATTCATAAAGGGATAAGCTGCAATGCATAAGTAAAACCATCTATTACTGAAGAAATTGCTTCCTTGGAGGCTTATCAGTTTTCACCATTGCATGTGACTGATGAATTTTGTCAATATTAGGTGGATAAGATACTGTGAATAATGTATATGGCTTAATGTTATTTTCATTTTCACCTTTACAATCAACCATTACTTGTGTCCAGTATAGTTCAATAATTCAATTTCACAAAAGATGTGCTTCCTGCAAATTATTGATGACACATTGACAATTACTGTTATTGTTATTTCTACTGTTATGCCTAGTTGTGATATTGTTTTTTTTAGGTTGATGCTCATGTAAAAGCACTTAGAACACTGTGCAAGCGAAAGGCTATGAGTCCTGAGGAGGCGGATTCCCTTGTTACAAAATGGGTTCAACAACTCTTGGCTGACGTGTCCAAAATTCTAGATTTGTATATGTCAAAGAACAAAGAAATGACGGAACAAAGTGCATTTCTCACACCTCAACGTTTTGGAAGCGAAATGGGGAAAGCAACTGGTGTATCATCACCTGCATTACTATCACGAACATTGACTGCAGTTCATACCTTGGGAAGCCTGGTTATGATTTGCCCTTCGGCTGATTTGAAATCCATAATTCCGGTTTTACACACAATAATCACTTCTGATGGTACTGATAAGAGGGCTAAAAAGTTGCCAGGGACTTCGGTTTCAATCAAGCGAACAGCTCCTTCCCTGTATGTTCAAGCTTGGGTAACCATGGGCAAGATCTGTCTTGCCGATGGAGACCTTGCAAAGCGTTACATTCCTCTGTTTGTCCAGGTACATACATGCTCACCAAAAGGTCTTGTGATCAAACTGCACTCTATGTATTAAAGTATGGTTAAATAGTCATTGGTGGAAAGTTTATGTGTGAACATATTGACATGCAGAGGTCGTTGACACAGTTCCTTATTTTCATGTACATGCTTTTCTAGGAGCTTGAAAAGAGTGACTGTGCTGCTCTTCGTAACAACATAGTTGTAATGATGGCAGATTTTTGTGTACGACACACAGCTCTAGTTGACTGGTGAGGGCCATATTTGTGGTTAATGTATAAGTATTTGAATGACCTGTTTTAAAAACATCTTCAGTTCTTATATGCTCTTACTTGCTTACACATTCGTATTCTTCTAGTTATCTATCAAAGATAACTAAGTGTCTAAGGGATTCGTGCGAATTAGTTAGACGGCAGACATTTATACTACTTGCAAGACTATTACAGGTGAATTCTGGTTTTCTAATGCATTGAACTTGGTATTCTAAAACAATATCTACAATGGTGTACAATTTTACTGTATTCTGTGACATTTGACCTATGCTTGATCTCAGAGGGACTATGTGAAGTGGAGGGGAGTTCTGTTTTTGCGGTTTTTATTCTCTCTCATCGATGAGTCTGAGAAGATAAGACAGCTGGCCGATTTCCTGTTTGGGAATATCTTAAAAGGTGATTTTCACTGCACACTTCTCATTAGAGCAGGTTTCTAGTGTCAGGATTATGATGCCTATTTTGTTTACAGTGAAGGCACCACTTTTGGCCTATAATAGCTTTGTGGAAGCTATATATACCTTAAATGACTGCAATGCTCATACTGGATCTAGTAACTCCCAGAGTTCAAGAAGCGAAACACATCTTTTCTCAATCAGGTTAGTATATATATGTAGTTTTAATTTGAAACACATAAGTTTGATGGAATGAAGTTTTAACTCATGGCTATTTATTAGAGGAAATGATGCGAAGTCAAGGTCTTCAAGAATGCACATTTATGCCACTTTGCTTAAACAGATGGCTCCAGAACATCTTTTAGCAACATTTGCTAAAGTATGTGCAGAGATCCTTGCTGCCGCTTCTGATGGGATGATCAATGTTGATGATACTACTGGACAGTCTGTTCTGCAGGTATATTAGATAGCAATATTCTGAACCTGAATAGTTTGTTTAAGAAGAACGTTCTAAAGATCAACAGATGAGCACATGGTAACCATACAAGTCAAACCATCCTCCAGAACAAGCAAATGAAATAGAAACTATTTTCTGTAGTGCTGTTGTTTTTAGTATCACAAGTTCACAACATTCCACTGATTCTTTTTCTTTCTTGTTTGTTATCCTTTTATCTTTGTGTGTGTGTGTGTATTCTTTTTTATCTTTTTTATTCTATCATTTTTATGTATAGCTTATCTCTTTTTATTTTATCTTTTTTATCATAGCTTATCTTTCTTATCTTCTTTTTCCTTTCGGTCCCGATATCATGTTTCGATTCATGTTAGCGGACACCAAAATCTTTTGGGACAAAGGCTTGAATGTTGTTGTTGCTGCTGCTTTTCTGAAAATCATGGCAGACAATAGAACATATCATTAATCAGTTATCTGATAACTTAATTGAATGGTTTTCTCACCTTGGTAATCTGTGTGCTTGAGTTTTATTGGCTGTTGGCTGTTGTTTCTCCCTTAAGGCTTAAGTAGATAGTATTCCCATTGCATCAGCTAATTTTATTTTATTCTTCATCAAGTCTTGAGTTGCAACTACCCATGCCATTTGAATGTTTTCCAAGGTCGCAGCTTAGAGACAGTTCTTTTTGGGTGGCTGGGGGGTTGGGTTATCTATTTTGCGTGAGTGGTATAATTTCAACTAAGAGCATGCAGGATGCCTTCCAAATTCTGTCAAGCAAAGAAATCCGAATATCAGCCAACCGTGGGGTGCAATCCGATTCAGCTGACATGGATGACGAAACTGGAGATGGTGGACCTGCAGCTGCTGGTAAGGGAAACACTATAACTCAAGCTGTCAAGAAAGGGCTTATACAGAACACCATCCCCATCTTCATTGACTTAAAACGTCTGCTTGAGAGCAAAAACAGTTCTCTTATTGGTTCTCTCATGGAATGCCTCCGGGTCCTTCTCAAGGACTACAAGAATGAGATTGATGAAATACTAGTTGCTGACAAGCAGCTCCAGAAGGAGCTTATATACGACATGCAGAAATATGAGACAATGAAGTCTAAAACGACTGCTGCTGAGGCTGTTGCGACGATGCAAAGATCAGACACTTACCAATCCCCAGCTGTTTCTGACATGTTGAAGAAGGCGAAGCTGCACAGCAATCCGAAGGTTGCTTCGGCAATAGCTGAGGCCTCGGCATTAGCAGTTGCTCAGTCTGTGTTAAGAGATGTGAATCATGGGGCTGCCACACCGCCGCTTAGTGCAATGAGGGCACCTAAACTCAAGTCCTGCTCAGCAACAGGAATGGCAAGTCGAGGAGAACGGTCTGCAGCTGTGCTACAATCTCTGAGGAGAAGGCAGGCGTTTGATTCTGATGATGAAAATTGATTCCCCCCTTCCAGTTTCAGATTTTGGAAGCTAAGCTTGATCCATGTTGTAAGTACCGCCAATGTAAGGTTCTCTCGAGTAGAGCAACTCACTTGTATGTATCGTGGCTGCTTAGGATTAGCTTTTTCACAATGTAAAATCAGGTTTCAAATGAAATGTATACAATTTTTTTCAGTAAAAGAAGTATATTAGAGTAGTCTCATTGTTTTGTTTGAGTTTTCTTGATTGAATTATTTTAAGAGTATGTCTTTTATTTTAAAATAAGAAAAATTGAAAATGATGATCTCAACGATTGCCGGTTCGCATTTAATGATACAATTATGGGAGATTTCCAAAATGGGAGTAAATTTGGTTTGAAATTCCAAAATATGATTGCTATATTTTTCTTCCCGAAATAGGAGAGTAACATACTAACATGACAATATTTACTGCATTCTTCTAGTCATCACCGCCAAATAGTTTTTGTACAAGGCATTCAACATGGCATTATTCACTATCATTAATAACAGTATTTTTTAATCATGATAGTATTTTTCAATGATGACAATAATGACTAGGGGTGGTTCGGTACGGTATACCGAATATTTTATCGCATACCTTTACCATACCGTAAACTTTTGGTATGCAAAAATACATACCGTTACCATACCGAAATGTCAGTATACCTTGTTTCGGTACGGTAAGGTATGGTATCGGTAAATTACCATGATTTAATATAACAAATTATTATATGTCAAATGAAATAAAAAAAACCAGTGTTAATAGTGATAAACTAAAATCATTAATGAAATTAATTATAAAATACCAATGAGATAACCTATTTGTGTTCTATTCAACTTTTGACAAAAAATATTATAAATATGTATAGATATTTCAACACATGATATATGAAGATAACAACACATTTTGCTAAAATAATTTAAACAACATAAATATAACTAAAATAACACTGATCTCCAACAAAAAATATAAATAATTCAATAAACATGGATATAAAGTCATTTATCCTTGAATTAGTATTGTGTTTCTAGTTATTTTTACAATTTTAAGGAAATTATTGACTTGGAATTACGGTATGACGGTATACCGGTATACCGTTTGTTTCCAAAATATATACCGATACCATACCGAAGTAATTCGGTACGGTATCATACCGTACCAAAAGCGTCCGTATACCAAACATTTCGGTAAATTCAGTATTTTTCGATATGGCGGTATACCGAAATTTTGGTATTTTCCCCCACCCATAATAATGACTCTTATTTCGGGAAAAAACATAACAGTCTTATTTTGAAATTCCAAAACCTATTTAGTTAGGGCAATTTCCCTACAATTATCGATTATTCCTAGGTGGTCCCAATTGTAAGGTTTGTCTATAAAAAGTAGTACATAGCGTACTATAGTTTGGTATTGTAGGTTACTACTCCCTCTGTCACTTAAAATTGTGTCATCTTTTCTTTTTGGGATGTCTAAAAAACTTTGTCACTTTACATTTGAATCTAGTCAATCTACTAATTTGTTCTTTTTGTTATTTCTTTCTTTTCTGCACAAACCTCAATCATACAATTTTTACTTTATTATTTTTTGTGCCACATAAATTTGGCAAAATTTTAAGGAACAAAGAGAGCATTAGATTAGAACTAAATATAAACAGGGGTGGAGTAGGATTTCATCATAGGGGTGAAAGTGAATGCAAACAATAAATTGTATTGTAAAATTTTGAAAACATATACACTCTATTACAATTGTAAATTGCTTGATTTAAATTCTTTGAGACTTTTAGATAGATTCAAAATCATTATTTTATGACATGTTTGAATAGTGCTTAGAAAAGGAAAACTAATGCTATCAAATGATATTTTTGAAGTTTGATTTTGCATTACACAATTAAAAGGAAATTAAGTATGATTAATATTTTTGGTTTTATTTGCATATATTCTGATATAATATTAATTCTCTACTTATACTCTCTAGGGGGTAAGACTCCCTACCCTTGGGCATACCTCTGCTCTTGACTACAAATAATCTCAACTATTGTCATATTTACCTATTTATATATTGAAGTATAGAAGGAGAGGCAAACTAGCTAAAGAGGTTGATGTGAAATTAAGGTCATAGTTAGTTATTTATGTAGAACTGTAGAAGTGTTTCCTAAAATATTTTTAAAATAATGTTTGAAGACAAAATTGTGACAAAAGTGACTATGAGTAATATTTTTATAGGCACTATGATGCAAAATTTGATCACAATTATGGTCATTAAAAATTACTAATTCACATTTTTATCAAGGAATAATGATAAAAAATAGACCCCCACCTTTTGAGTGGACAACAATAAGACTAACTATTAGTATGTGTTAATCTAAGATGTGTTAATTCAGATTGGTGGTGATAATAGGGGTTGTCTAGGTTTTTCCTATCGACGACAACAGAAACTGTGTTTTTAACTATGTCGCTCCTAAAATTTCGCATAAGAGGCAGGTGATGACTCGATTTTCATATCTACAGTGGCGGTTAGGGTTGGATTGGACAACGGCTAGGGTTCAATATTCATTTTCAATGGTTTCTTCTTCAAGATTGGAGGTCGAGGGTTAAGCTCATTGTTTCGTCTGATTTCACTTTTGACGGTGGTTTGTCCCGTTGGAGTAGCGACATGGGTTTCTATCTTAAATCTATTAAGATCATGTTTGATAACTGTTGGAATATTTGGTCTTGGTCTGAGTACAGACTCAAATATCCCCAGGAAACCCATATCCCACGTAGCCCATCAAACGAATACATCCAACTCGGGACGACCCACACGAGATGCGCCGCACGGGAACAACGGAACGAGCCAGTTGCCCTACTTGAGTCATTTTCCCATCTGGGCAAGCTGACCATGGCAGAATGTCCCAAGATTGTTGGTGGGAAACTTCATAATTGATGGGGAAGCACATTTAATGCAATAGATATGAGAGATTTTATAGTTGGGAGATCATCCATTCAGGGTTGGCCACATTACCCTCTCCAACTACTCACCCGATCCTAGTATAAATACCGACATTTATTTCACTGTAAAGGGTTATCAAATTTGTACTCACAACATTTTACTTCTCTCTAGCTCTTGTAACAGCCTTTAGCTCTGCCTAAGGATCGGATTTCCCGTTCAACACTAGTACTTTTGTGTAAGCATCAATAGAGTTGGGTTACTTGTGACTTATTGTCATTACTTCTTGCTGACCTTAATCGAGATATTCCAACGACAGCTAACAGAGTGTGTTGAGCCTTTGGATCCTGAGGAATAAAGCTCAACAATAACTAATATGTCCATCTTATCAGTGCTTTTATTTATATCAAACACATTACTTTTAATTTTGCGCTCTAATTATAAAATAATCAAAATAAGTGAGTTTTAAGTTACTGTTGTGATTGAATTGGATGAATTTACTGTAGAAGATTTTGCGCGCTAGTTATTATCTTACAAGATTTTTTCTTTAATCATCAATAAAAATACTTTAAATATATTATATCTGCAAATCAGCAAATTAGCGACCAATTCAACTAGAATTTTATCAGTTTCAAATAGATACAACCTATTTTACCAACTTCAATGTTACCAAATGGGTACTAAAAATTATTCATCCTACTCTCATAAAACTTGACCGAAATTGATCAGCACGGAAAGTAATAAAGTAAAAACGGTGTGATTAAGTTTTGGGCGGAGGGGAAAAATTGTGAAGAACCACAAATCTTTAATTAAAAGATAAAGTTGCAAAGTTGGTTAGACTATTCTTCCAAAAGGTTGAATCCCCAACCCAAGGGCCCCCACGCCCCGATTCGACAAGACTTTTGGGAGGTTGTAAGTCACGATGATTCAATCGGTCCAACTATGATAGACTTTGTACCCGTGCGCACCAGAGGTCCATCCCAGCACACATGAGTTGTAACCACCACACGACCACTGCAGGTTTCGATCCTTGGTCATTCTTTCATTTTTCCCACCACTCAACCAACTGAGCTACAAGTGTGGGTAACATGGTTAGACTATCAAACAAGGAAAGTTGATAAATATTTAAAAGATGGAGTGACTACAATTTAGGGGGTGTTTTGGAATTCATTCTGTTTCTGCTTCTTTTTTAAAAGTAGAAGCAGAATTAGAATTGGTTTTTGAGAAGCGGAATCGGTTTTTCAGAAGTACTTTTGGGTAGGGGCGGGATCGGGATCAGATTGCCGAATTCCCGATCCCGTCCCGATCCCGATTCAAACTACAAGAGGATCCTGTATCCCGTCTCGATTAAGTCGGGACCCCGACATTAAAATCCTGATTAAGTGGGGTTCCCGATCGGAAATCCCGCTTAATCCCGCTTAATCCCGCTTAGGATGTTTTCTTTTGGACTGTTTTCAGTCCCAGACCATACCATACCAGATCAGACCAGATCAGACTAGACTTCTATAGTTATAAAATACACAGAGACCAGACGGTTACCAGACCATACCAGATCAGATCAGACCAGACCAACAAATTTCAGTCCAAAAAAACTTCCTTAATCCCGACAATGAAGTATCAAACATAAAACTATGTAATTTCTTTAATTAAACATTAACTTTGATATTTAGTGGTTTCAACACTATTCTTTGGTCATTATTATACCATATTTATCATCATCTACTTATAAAATTTATTGTAATAATTATCATCTCAAATTCACACTAGTACATACTTTTAGAATAATTTTTATTTATAACTTCAATTAATGAATAGTATAATTTTTGAATAAGCTATCAAGACTTAGTGAAACTTACTTCAAAAATTATAAAAACCACAAAAAGAAGAATGCGTAATGTATATTATTTAAAATTCAAAACTAAGTAGACTCATTGAGAAATTTTGTGACCAATGAATATAATGTATAAATACATATTATGATTATTTACTAAAGAAAGAAAACTTAGTCTTGATCATGTTTTTTTAAAGAGTTCATCAAAACCGCAAAAATTGTAATATTGTTGTGATTTAGATTGTCGGGATCAAGAATAATCTCTATTTTAGTTAGGATCCAGAATATTAAGTTTCGAACAAATGCCGAATAATTTTAGAAGTTTGATATTGTAAGATACTCGCGGTAAAAGATTAATCTATGTAAGGAATAAATAATTAAAAAAGATATGCAAATATTTAGATACATGTTTATTTTTTTATAAATGTATATTCATTTTTATA